TGTTAAAACTTTTACTTTACAAGTAAGTATTTTTCAGATTTTTATACAGCCCAAAATAAAAATCTGTACTGAAGTTCGAAGACCCATGTTGCTGACGAAAGATGAAAATTTCATATTATCGACGAAGGATCAAAAAGTATAACACGTTGTGATTCTCTCTAAAAATACAAGTAAACCAACAAGTTATGTGATACCTAACATGATGCAGAAGAACTTATCGATTGAATTATAAAAGTCATTAAATCAGCTATATAACTTTTGAATTGTAGTAGAACTGTTGGATTATTTTGGATCCCGTTTCTTCCGGGTAAAAGACACGACGGATCCGGGCTTGCCCCTTCTTTGTTTGCTTGTAACAATCCCGAAGAAGCCAATAAAATTTGTGGGTTGCAATCCAAACAAGATCAATAGTCCAGTTTCCGAGAAAAATAACTTCATTCGTAGATCACAAACATTTTTGGAGAGTTAAAGGTAAAACAAACGCGAACGTACAACATTATCGTAGTCCGTAAAGACATTCTGGAAGAATTAGAACTCTCAACTCACGTTGGTTAAATTGGCGCCGTTAAAATGAAAACGATAAATTAGCTTGCCAAGTTTCTTAATTTTCTTAAAGCTTTCTTTTTCTGGAACTGGCAAAACAAAAGATTAGAAAACAGCAAAGAGCAAATTGAGAGCAAATTAAAGTGGCTAAGTTAACTGTGGCTAGTGAATTTATTCATTAAACGTTCTCATTAACCATTACTTTAATCACATTAGATATTACTCATTAAATATTTATTTAATCAGTTTTTAATGAAGTTTAAATATTAATTTACATATTCTTTAGATACCTATTTAATGAGTACTTAATATTGATTAAATTTATATTTTTAATAAATATATTATTATTAAATGTTTTACTTTGTGACATTAAAATTTGTTGTTAGAGCAAAATTTTTAGAAATTAAGAAAATATTATTTCTGTTTCTTTAACAAGATATAATACCATTACATTTAATGTATAACGTTTGGAATATATGTATAAATATTTAACATTATTAAATATTCCAGATATTTTTTAAAAATTGAAATTCTTTTATTTTAATGTTTAACGATATACAATAAATATGTACATGTGATCGTGTTTAGTAAATTATATCTATATATATATATATATATAAAACTTAAAATTGTTAACAATTAATAGTTTAAAAGTAAAATAATAAATAAATAAATCATAAAATGAAAACTTATACTAAATAAAATAAAAAAGAAATTAATAAATTATAATAAACAAAATTAAAGTTTGTAAATTAACAATTAACAGCTTTTTTGCTTAGGATAGCATTAGCAAAAATTGCAAAAATGATGTTCTGAATACATACATACATCTTGCGTAAGCACGGATATATGCTATTCATTCACAATTTACGATGAGTCATAATTTCCGCGAAAACCAATGAGATAAAAACAGTAGCACATACGTTCTGACTCATAGAAATACATTCCATTGTTTATTGATAATCGATATTAGGATCACTTTAATAATCGCAGTACTCGTATATAACTGAAATATTTAAACCACACAGTCCTATAAATAAATTAAAAATCGCAAATACGTTAAGGTGACCCTACATAGTCAATAATACTATCAATATTAACAAATACTGACAATATTACTAATTATGTGATTGATATTGATGGATTGACGTAGAATACTAACAATGGTATGGACAACAATGGCACGTAACAGTAGTCTGGGCAGTAAAAGAAAAAGAACGTTAAAATAAATGAAAGTTTTCGAAGAAAATTTTGAAGAGTCAACGCAATATTGAGCGAATTATTATTTATAGTTTTCTGATATATCATTTATATTATAATATATTATAATAGAGAATTAATTAAGCAGCATGATGGTCTCGAGATAATTATCTAAAAACAGTAGCAATTAAAGCTTCTTAATTAACGATGTCGATACAATTGAATTTTAATTAGTTGTACATTCCAATTAGCCGTTCCATCATTTTATTTACTTCATTTTCGCAATGTGGACAGAATTTTTGAAGAAATTAATTATTCGATTTCTCGAACCTGAAAATTTCGTCTACTGGCTTTAAAATTAAGTACTAAAATTTATCAGCACAAAGACGTTTCAAAGGAATATCGTTGTCGTTAAACAGATAGATAAGTTCCTATTGTAATAGGAGCTATTACAAGTCTATAAAAAATACTGTTATAATCATAGGCGTTAGGAAAAACAAAGGGAACTACGGTCCCCTAAATCTTAAAGAAGAACAAAATTAAACCTGCACTTAAACAGATTATACTTAATTCACAGGAAATTAATTTAAAAAAGAAAAAAATTAGAGATAAAAGTTATATAGAAAGATTTTCTGAGAATCCAAGACGGATAGTGCCATAAATTTAAGTTTTTCCAATTCGAATACAAGCCGTTGCAAACAAAAGTCCATGGCAAAAGAACGTCATTGTCGTCAGACAGGTAAATAGGTTCACTTCGTGCACAAAACGAAAACCGTTAACGCTCGAGAGCACGATCTCTTTCTTTTACCTTTCACCATTTATCTCGATGACCGAATTGTCGATCACGTTGATATTCCGTAGAGCGAGCTAAAATACGTATAAGCTAAGATACGTCAAATCTTCCGATTTAACAATCGAAGAGATCAATGCAAAAACTCGATGTAAAATCGATATTCTATCGCAGCTTCTTCTTATGCTCTTTTCTTTTGGATGAAATAAAACTTAAAAGAATTTTGTATCGACGAGCAATATTTTTAAAGAAAATAATAAGGGAACTAGCAGAAACGAAGGAATCCGTTGAAAATTGAGAAAAATTGAGAAGCTTCAGCCATTCATGGAAACCTATGAATCCCATTGAATCTTATCGCTCAGGTACAAAAGGTCAGGTACAAAATTATCACGAGATATTCTCACGAACGAGATATTCTCCGATCAAACTCCGAAACTTTATCAAGCAACACCTAAATTGTTTCATTAACTTATCAAAGAATACCTAGGCTGGTATTCATAATTGATTCTTATATTTAAGATTATTTTAAGTACGGTTCTAAAATATTATAAGCCTATTTACAAAGGTCGGTATTTACAGTCTGTTCTTATTTCAAAACCATCTTAACAGCATTAAGCATTTTAAGTAATGTCTTAAAACTACTGCTGTTAATGTAATTGTCTTATGATATTTTAAGACAATCTCAAATATAAGAATCAATTATGAATATCGGCTCTTACTGTTTTATTAACAAGGATAAAATAATTAATTGCTGAAAACGTACACTGAAAGAAACATTAAATTGGGAACTGAATATATTTCACATAGTTAGGCTACATTAGGAAAAGTCTTTTCTGAATAAAATTTTACTCAATATGATATAATAATTATAACATATACTGAAAAAAATTCATGTAATTTTACATGAAAATTCATGTAATTTTACAATTTTCCAGTAAATTTTCAATCACATTTAAATAATTTTCCGATCATAAACATGTAATTTTCATGTAAAATTACATGAATTTTTTTTCAGTATACGTTTTACAGTTTAGAAATTTTACTTCAAACAATTCTACATGGAACAAAAGATGTTGAAAAATCTAAAAATTTAACTAGATAGGATCTGAAAATAATTTTGTTGTCAAAATAATTAGGTGGGAAGCTCAAGCATAATGAGCAATGCTGCAAAAAATTTTGATATTCTAGCAATCAATACAAGGGGTCGTATTTAATTATTTTAATAATTTAACCAAATTATTTTCAGCTCTGTATCTTATATAGATAAATTTTTAGATACTTCAATAAAACTGCTTTTTTTCTAATTGACTTAATGTCCGATTATGCTGATCGGAGTTTGATCAAAGTCACTCTTAATTTGTAATGATAATCAACGGGTAATGTTCAACGTTGTGAAATTCAACGCAAGAACGTTCTAGAATCTGCGGTACGTCAAAGTGCGATACGCTCTTCGTTCAGACACAATCAGCCGCGATGATCATGGAAGTATAATATAAAAAAAGGTGCTCGTTTTCAAGACGAATTTCGTTCTGCACATAACTAGATGCGGCCATTTTAAACATTTACATCGCAGTAACTTTGAAAGTGACATATTGCGGACATGAGTACGTATCAAGTAAAAACATGTACAAATAATTTCCAAAAAAAAGATCCAGAAATTTACATTTTTTTCAATTTCCAAAGGAAAGAACTCAACATAATATCATAATGACATAATGACATAGCGCCAACTTCAAATAATCGCAATACCATTCGGCGGCTTCTTATCTTATATATATCGCTCTTCTGTTCAAAATGTGCAAGAGCACAGCTTTTACATACTTCCACCATAGCCGGAGTGCTCCGGATTCCGCTCGTGGACCACGAGGAAGAGCTCGTTGTTGAAAATTGCCTCGCTTCGACGCAACGAGTTCGCAACAGTCACGATCAAACGTTGCGCATGGATGCATAAATGCATATCCGATTGCAGCGCGTCGTCTCGCTCCCTCGCACGCATCCTCTCGTCCGTCTCTCTCCTTCTTTTTCTCTCTATTTCGTCACGCGCACGCACACACGTACGTATTATCCTAGAAGAGCGCGTGCACACACGAGATGTCCCGACGTCGTCCACGTGTGTGCGTGCGAGGGCGCGCATGCGCGCTGCTCGATCGATAGTCTCGAATCCAGACGCGTTTGACGACAAATCGCCTCCGGGTGGAGAAAGGAAAATCGTCGATTCCCATCGAAAATTGAAACAAAACATTAGAAATTGTAAGAAAAACGTAAACCGCGAATCTCTCGCTATGAATTCGCGTTCATCGTGTCGTAATAAAATCGCGAGACAACGTCCCGCGGCGCTGCGAGCGACGGCGCGGCGCTAGTGTCACCGTCGCGACCGACGCCTGGGCTCGAGGCTACGCCCGAAACGCCGTATACGCATCTGCGCATGTCATATGCGAGCACGATCTCTTTCTGTCGTGGCATCTGAAGGTGAGTGGTTGTACGTTGTTCATACACCGGTAAAGCTATCCGACGAATCTCATCCGTGGATACGACATCGGACAACAGGTATGGAATAGAACGACGGCCGAGGCCGCCGCGTGTTGTGCTGTGCGTTTAGTTTCGCGATTCCGTTATGGCCATTCGTAAAAATTCCGCCCGAACGATTCTCTCGCCGAGTCACGGTAAAGTGCCGCATGGCCGGTTTAGCCGTGCCTTCTTCCATCCGTTCCCGCCGGCTGTTGGAATCTCCCGCGTACGTATCGGCGTGTCGACGACGAGCGGGCGTCGTTTCGCGGAGGGATCTTCGTCGGTCGCGAGGATAAGATTATGAACGAGCGGGCGAAGGAAAACGCCGGTCGCGAGCCGGCAGCGGACGCGCATCCGAGATTGCGAGAGGAGCGGACCGGATGCACTATGGCGGCCGTGCGGCTTGTCAGAGCGCTGGAATTCCACGACGATGCGCGAATACGCTCGTTCCTCATTATTAAGAAGATTATTAAGATTACCGGTTCTTCACGCGGTAGAAGTCTCGCGATTCTTGCTCAACGCGGCCCGAAAAATCGTGGTGCTCGCGGCAGGATGCGTGCGGGTAACGGCGGAGTCGGAAAACCGGAAACGCGAGGTTAAAGGTGCTCTCCTCTTTCTCCTCTCTTCTCTCTCTCTCTCTTCTCTCTCTCACTCCCAAGAATCGCAAGTCCGCCCGGAGGCCGTGTGCAACGACGACCTTGCACCTAGACTTCTGGAATGTGATGGAGATGATTCTTTTTTTCTTTTGCCATGTATCGCCGGATGGCGATAAGAGTACCTTTAACCTGTCCTTTCAGGTTATATGGCACTGGAAATCGATTCCACGAAGGAAAAGATAACGAGAACGTTGCCGGCACGGCGTGGCTCCGAAGTCGGGTCGCAAAGCGAAATTCTGTATCCGTTTTCCGTTACAGACTTAAAAATCCAGGGATAAAGGATCCACAAATAAGAATCGCGCGCGTCTGCGTTTCGCGTAGAAAGTCAAGTCGGTGGATCGCACGGGAAGAGGAACCTCCGTTTTGCCGAGTTTCGCGAGATGATCAGCGCGTGGAGGAAAAAACTGGGCGTTATCTGGACTCCCGTCGATCGCTGAGAACGATTCTGCGAAACAATAACGATTGATTTCGCAAAAATCCGCGATATATCGGTAATTCCGTCACGTTTTAACGCGCTCGCAAGGCATAGACTTCTTCGGGGGGGGCCTCCGTAATTTTCCATGCGCCTTCGGCAAGTCACTGCGTGCTGGCTGGCTGGATGGACCGCGAAGGAGGCGACATATTTGGCCACCTGATCCGCCACGTTCGTCTTTCAGCGAAGCGCGAATCTTTCTCGGTCCATCCGAATACGGGAGAGTTTCGCGAGGAGAGAAAGAAAGAAAGAAAGAAAGAAAAAAAAGAGGATCCGTAATAATGTGGCATCGTGCGCGGTGCTGAGCGTCACGACAATCGTGGCAACAGCGCGCCGCTCCTTCTCGTCGTCACTTACAAAATGGCGGCCGTCTGCCATTCTCGAATATTCACGTTCGGCCACGTGGACGGCGGACAAAGACCGCTGCGACGTCCCGAATGCCCCGCGTTCGAGTCTTCCGTGCGCGCTCGAGAAGCGTCTGGAAAAGCGATTGCACCATTTAGCGCAACGCGAGATCGGCGCAAGATTGGGGCGGAGGCGCGAATTCACAGAAATTTCTCTCGGAGCCCCGCTCGCTCCAGACGTCGTTCGATTCCATATTGCGTGTCACGATGATCATTTAACTTGGTACAGATAATCGGATGGTCTCCAATGCGCGAATTAAATTGTTGCGAATTAACTCGTAACATTTTTGATATACTAAAGAAACATATGGGTTCACAGGATATACTAAAGTTTTTTTATTACTTAGAAAACTTTTAGTTTTTTATTATTTTTAGAATTTATCAAGTTTATAATTAAGAAACAAAATTCTGAACATTAAATTATTTCAAATTATTACTATTTAAAAATTGGGACAAGTTTCAAAGATAAGAACCCATTTGTTCTATTATAATACAATTGAAAACCTGAATTTTACCCAACAATATTTTCTAACTCCTGTATTTTTGTTCTCAGAGTACTAGAAGAATTCTCCTAAAACTACAAAAATGGGCAAGGAGAAGATTCACATTAATATCGTCGTTATTGGACACGTCGATTCTGGCAAGTCGACCACCACTGGTCACTTGATCTACAAATGCGGTGGTATCGACAAGCGTACCATTGAGAAGTTCGAGAAAGAAGCCCAGGAGGTGATGATCAATAATTTTTAGACAAAATATTCTATAATTGCATAAATACAGTTGTAAAAATTGACTAATTACAGTCAAATATGAAAAATATTTTCAATTGTGATTGATCAATTTTTACAAATACAACTATCTTTATATGAGTATAGAATGATCTTAAAAACACGTTTTGTATAACAATAGACTTGTTGTAAAAATGATGATACGTTGATTTTAAAAACATGTTTTGTGTAAGAATGGACAATGATGATACATTTTTCCCTCGTTCGCGGTTTTCACGTGAGGATTATTTTTGAATCCGTTGACGGCCGAAAGTGTCTGAATGTCTTTTCATCAAAGGCTGTGTTCTATTTGGCGCTCGCAATATTTTTAGAATCATTTTTCCTTGTTTATCAAATGTTAACCAAGAACAATTGATATTCGCAAGCGCAAAATTGCAGCTAAAGTTTTCATTAGTAATATTGAGATTTGTTAAAATGCATCTAAATAATAATAGAAGGGGAATAACTTAAAAGGATCTGATAGAATGAATCTAATCAAAGTTATTACTTTTTAGATAGGCAAAGGTTCCTTCAAATATGCCTGGGTACTTGACAAACTTAAGGCCGAACGTGAGCGTGGTATTACTATTGACATTGCCTTGTGGAAGTTTGAAACCTCTAAATACTATGTGACGATTATCGATGCTCCTGGACACAGAGATTTTATCAAAAACATGATCACTGGTACCTCGCAGGCTGATTGTGCCGTATTAATCGTCGCTGCTGGTACTGGTGAATTCGAGGCTGGAATTTCAAAGAATGGACAGACTCGCGAGCACGCTCTTCTCGCGTTCACCCTTGGTGTCAAGCAGTTGATTGTCGGAGTTAACAAAATGGATTCCACCGAGCCCCCGTATTCCGAGACTCGATTCGAGGAAATTAAGAAGGAAGTGTCGTCCTACATCAAAAAGATCGGTTACAATCCAGCCGCTGTTGCATTCGTGCCAATCTCCGGCTGGCACGGAGACAATATGTTGGAAGTATCCGCCAAGATGCCTTGGTTTAAGGGATGGGCTGTAGAGCGTAAGGAAGGCAAAGCCGAAGGTAAATGTCTTATCGAAGCTTTGGATGCCATCCTGCCACCCACCAGGCCAACTGACAAGGCTCTTCGTCTTCCCCTTCAGGTAACATCGATTTTTTAATCTTAGTGCGAATAATTTACATGATGTGATACTTATGTAATATTTCATTCGTTGTACTCGCTTTATTAGTCTTTTGGACATTATGATGAAAAATTAATTATCTCATTCGCGGTTTTCACCATAGGATTTTTAATCCGTTGATGGCCAAGATTCGTCTGATTCTTTGAAACATAGAATGCATGATTAATTTTATTGAGGCAGAATAATAATTTTTTTTTTTTGTAATTGCAGGATGTGTATAAGATTGGTGGTATTGGAACAGTACCCGTCGGTCGTGTTGAGACTGGTGTACTAAAACCTGGTATGGTCGTTACCTTTGCACCCGCTGGATTGACGACTGAAGTTAAGTCCGTTGAAATGCACCACGAAGCTCTGCAGGAGGCTGTGCCCGGCGACAACGTTGGTTTCAACGTCAAGAACGTATCTGTTAAAGAATTGCGCCGTGGATACGTCGCTGGAGATTCCAAGAACAACCCACCCAAGGGTGCTGCTGACTTCACCGCACAGGTAAGCTTATTACACTTAATTGCACTCGTTTTATTAGTCTTTTTGACACTATGATGAAAAATTAATTATATCATTCGCGGTTTTCACCAGAAGTTTGCTAGTGATGGTCGAATGCGTCTGAGTGTCTTAATGTTTAAATATTAAAATTAAATGCTATTAACTTTAAAACATTGTAAGATATGATTTCTGAACATATAATTAATATAATTATTTATTTCATACAGGTCATTGTGCTCAATCATCCTGGTCAAATCAGCAATGGATATACACCTGTATTGGATTGCCATACTGCTCACATCGCCTGCAAGTTCGCTGAAATTAAGGAGAAGTGCGATCGCCGTACTGGCAAAACCACCGAAGAAAATCCAAAAGCCATCAAATCCGGTGATGCCGCCATTGTCGCCCTAGTACCCAGCAAGCCCATGTGTGTTGAGGCTTTCCAGGAGTTCCCACCCTTGGGACGTTTCGCTGTTCGTGACATGCGTCAGACTGTAGCTGTTGGCGTCATCAAGGCCGTCACCTTTAAGGATCAAGCGGGCAAAGTCACCAAGGCCGCTGAGAAAGCCCAGAAGAAGAAATAACTATTGTAATAGTTTCCGTGCATACACCGATAGTTTCCGTGCGAATATGCCACCGGGCGAACGACGGCGTACATCAGCCGACGTAACTCATCCTCCTTTGTATGACTCGCGAGAGACGAACTTGGCAACATTGTCTACAACGGAGTTCCTCGTGAGGACTTTATCGCGAGCTACGATCGGAAATGAGAGAATGACGATCCAATCGCGCAGATTGGCTCCTCGTGCATGCAAGATTGCGCTGCCGCGTTTCCTCGGCGCGCGGACATTTCACTTGTCGAAATGGCTCCGTCATTTTTTTCATCGTAAGGAGTTTCGCAGGAAAGAATACGGGATGTTTATCTCTGATGATATATATTTTCGTCTCGTGGGAGTCCGCAAGGAGGAAGAGCGAACTTCGCGCGAGCTATCGCAAACAACGTACACCTACCAACTACTTCATAACGAACATCAACATAATTTAGCGCGGCTTAATTATATTTTCTAATTACTATACGGAAATAAATTCTGTATATATCCGATATTTCGAGGAGAAACATGTCATTATTACTCTTCGTTGACATTGTTACTTCATTAGTAACTTGTCAAATTCATCATCCTTTTGAACAAAATAATTCCTCATTTTTATCGCTCTCACATCTACGGTAGCTATACAATCTAACCAGATAAAAAATAATATATATTGTTGCGATGTCCGTATTATTTTGTCTTCTTGGTAGCTTTTTTATATTAATTCAGATTAATCATTCAGATTATATTAATTCAAGAACGTGAGACTAGAGAGAACAACGGTAGTAGACCTTAACAAAGATAGATTTCGTTGGGATATATGGGATCTGTTGTTTCCTCTAATTATCTTTCCATTCAGTTATAGGTAAGATAAATCCAAATATCCTCAAGGAAGAAAACCTTTTTCTATGAATTATTCCTTTTATCAACTAACGTCTAACAAGAAGTGCAAGATGACTTTTACAATAACTCGATACTTTTTATCCCCCCACGATTTTTCTACAAACGACATTGGTTAACGGTTTTCTGTACATACATATAAATGCCAGCGATGACGAGTAAGAGCGAAAATAAAGAAGCTGCGGAAACGAGACGTCGGTGATTCACTATCACCAGTACGCAAACCCGACTCCTTGTCTTCCCTTATAACCTGTCCGGATGCTACATCAGAAATTCCATGAAGATTCGGAAAACACATAAAATATACGTAAGCGCAATTTAATGGTACGTATGAGACTCGCAGCTTCAGAGAGAATACAGAAGTGGATTTTTTAATCATGGTTTATGCAAATAAAAATTAATGTAATTATTGCAAAACTAATTAATTCTACAATTCTTACGAAAACATTAAATACTCCATATTTATTAAAAAAAAACGCACTGCAGAAATAAACGTTCAAAATTGTTAACAATTAATAATTAGCAATATATTCAATAGTAACATATATTTTCTACTTAAATTTGCAACATTAATTTCTGTTTGTCGAGATTAGATACTATCCACTATATTCTATTGTCGTCTCTAAATAAATTGCGATTACATATATATTTAATGTGTATTAAATAATAGAATATTTCGTTAAATGCGAAAAAATATCGTCAAATCAATTTCGCTATTTTTTCTTTTTCATTTAATTAAACTATGTATGCTCGATGTATAAATATTCAAATATATAAAATTGCATTAATTATAGCATGCATTGATATGTTTTATTGGTGTTTTATTGGATATGTTTTATTAATATTATTAACAAAAGAGAAATAATGAACAATCTTGGAGTTTTAGTGATATCGCCTCATTTTATTTTTATTTTTTACTATGTACTAGATGTATACTTGTCAATTTTGGAAAATTTAGAAATAGTTTTGAGGATTTTAAATTGTATATAAAGATTGACAAAACCAAGAAATTGCAATCAGATAGAAATTTTGGCGCAGCTCAAAATTTATTACACTTTCAAGAATTTCGTTTATCGCAAAATATCTCTTGTATTGTGAGTTACAAAATTGAATCGCGTTACGTAAGAATGAACGACTGCAAATGCAGCATCAACAATCGGTCATAATACATGAACATTGAACGCACATCATAATAAAACCTAGAATTCAGAAGCTCCCCTTAACGTGTCGAAGTATTTATGGAAAGTATTATACGGGCATTGACGATGGCGGGGAGAAACAAGAGAGAGAAGATACTGTTGGAAGGTACAGGAAACGCGGCTGTAAGGAATCGACCCGCCGATAACGTTGCATCACGTTGTAACGTGTATCTACTTGATCTACTCGAGTCGCCATGCTTCAATTGCTATTTGCCACCGAGCTGATCCGAGTTTCGCTATGTTGAGGTTAGGAACTGTTTACTTGTCAAATCCATGGCATCGAAGAGAGACGTAGGCGAAACATGAGGGAAATCTGGTGATGAGTGACGGAACGCTCTTTCGCGGAAAACATGTTTTTCCCCGTAGGATGGCCGCGGGTTCTCAACACCTGCGAGCAGGGCAAAATAAATGCGGTGGTGTGCAACAGAGATAAAATTATGTTCGCCGTTCTCACCGCGGACTCCCTTGTCATCTGGTACTGCAAGGCACGTAATTTAAGCCAAGAATCTGCTTTCCCATACGATACAGAAGCTTGCATGACTTGCATCAATATTGCTGCAATGTTGCGATGTTGCTACAATATTGCTGAAATGATTTGTGCTGTACAGGTTTTAGCCAAGTCATGGATTTAAATTTCCCAGGATACTAATACAATCATAATAAAATCTATCTAGTAGGCAAAAACGTTATATACATAGATTTCATTAAGACTGTATTCAGCAAGAAACAGATGAGTACAGTGAAGCACAACATCCTTGTTTGCTAATGTAAAGATAAAAATGTAAAGATAATAATACAAAGATAAAATGTTTCACTGTATTGTACTACATCATCTATTTCTTGGAAAACATCCTGTATATTCACTTCATATCTTATATGGTTAAATCTATTGCATATGTTAAACTACATACATTTTCTTGTAATTTCCTTGAATGTTTCTGTATTTAATAATTTCTAAAATACAATTTATATATATTGCAGCCTTGTGTACCAATTGTATTTAGCAGACGATCTGCGAATTCTTTGTGGCAACATGGTGAGAACGTTTTGGTGCAATGGAGACCAGACTCGAGTATGCTGGTTATCGCGACATCAGATAGCTACCTGTTATTTTACAAACTTACAGACAACAGTGCAGAGGGTCGGGGACTTTATGAACAACGAGATTCACCAGTTACCAGTTTGAAACGGGATAGTGCGGAATTATTTATCAAAGAAGTCATTCCATCCCTCGTTTTGAGTTTCGTAAGTTTTGTGATAATTCCTCATTGTCGAGTGTGACATGAAAAATTTAAAATAAAAATCAATTGTAAATTATTTGTAACTGATTAAATCATTAAGTTCATCGGGACTGACTACAGTGATTTAATTTTTTCCTATTTATTTTGTAGGAAAAGTCGGCTTGGATCGACGGTGGGATCAGTTCGTTAGTTTGTATACGAGATGAACTTATGGTAGCAACCAAAACTAGCCATGTGGTACGTCATAAATGGGACGGTACCATGAATCGCGACTATTCTTTAGATTTGAGACGTATACCGTTCAGTATTGATCAACAAATTTCCACAGTGGCTGTACCACTTACAGAGAATAACATTTATGTTACTGATATTGAATATTCACCTCTCGTTGGAGGCTTTGCCATCGTGTTGAATAATGGTAAAGCTGCATTTCTCACTGCTCAATCTTTGAAATTTGATCCTAATCAAGTACAAGGAATCTGGGCTCAGGATGTAGATGATGCTACATGCGCTGCTGTTAATCATAAATATCGACTAATTGCCATTGGTAGACAAAAGTAAGTTAATTTCATAATGTTGTTCTTGAATTTGTAATATTCTCTCTAATTAGTTAGCTTTTAACTACAAATATTTTAATTTGCAGTTCCGAAGGTGTTGTATATTATGTTGATGAGACAACTGGTGGTTTAGAGATGTCGCATACCTTGAGTCTATCTTCCAAAGATTATCCAGGTCGACCGGGTAGCGTCAAGTGTCTCAGATGGACACCCGATAGTTGTGCAATCGCTCTCGCTTGGGAAGGCGGCGGTTTAGCACTGTGGAGCACCTTTGGTGCTCTGTTACTCTGTAGCTTGAAATGGGACTATGGCCTACGCGTAGATCTGACACATGATAATCCTCTACATATTCATACGATGGAATGGTCTGCGGAGGGCTATCAGCTATGGATGCTTCGAGAATCTCCAGGATCTTTAGTGACTAACGAAAACGGCAATAAAACCACCAATTTAAGTCGTTCTCTTATTCAATTGGATTTCGCTAAAAGTCCTCTGACTATCAACCCGTGCATGGGCCATCATGGACATCTGTATCTTCAAGGCGAGGATAGACTATATTTAAATTTAGGAGCCGGATTATCTTCGTCCGCCTCGGGTTTTCATCTTGCTGCCGAAATGCCCAACGACAGTATGCTTCAGACACTTGCCGGTTGCAAACAATGGCTCGTTGTGCCTATTCCGACTGCATACAGCGGTTCCAATTGGCCAATTCGGGTAAATATAATATTTATAAGTATAATAATATAACAATATTAGTATATTTGAAGAAAACATACTGTAAACCAACAATTTTTATATTATTTAACTTTATTATTTTATATTAGGTGTTGGAATTAATTCGTAGCGTTTTTTAATGAAAGAATGTTATTTATTTCACATGAGCATTAAAAAATACATTAATGAAAGTACTTCCCATCACTTGTAAAACGCTACGAATTAATTCCAACACCTAATATGATATGTAGTATTAACATGTAATATTATAAATAATTTCGTTAACTATAATACATAACATTAATGAAAAAGATTTTAAAGAGCTTTTTTTATTACTATGTGGTAATTCACATATATTTGTATTTACAGTATACTGCAATAGACAGTGAAGGTTTGAGTCTTGCAGTGGCCGGTCGAACAGGATTAGCACATTATTCCTTACCTTCAAGAAAATGGAAGTTATTCGGTAACGAGAGTCAAGAACGAGACTTTATAGTAACTGGAGGATTGCTATGGCATAAAGGATATCTCATAGCTAGCAGTTATTCTATATTAGACGATAAAGACGAGATTAGAATTTACCCACGCGATACTCGACTTGATAATAATTATGTCAAAAGTGTCAGGATGCCCTCGCAGGTGCTATTACTGAATACGACGAAAGATAGACTTTTAACCTTCTGTGCCAATGCTCAAATTATTATCTACGATATGGTGTTGCAAAATGACGTGGGTAAGTATAAGGTTGCTTCTTCATTTAAAATTGATTTTGAAAAAATTCGATCTTCATTCAGTGAAATGGTTGTATTATTATTTTAGAAGCCGGTGGTATCGAGTTAACGAGGATACAAACAGTGGACATTAGTGGACTGTGCGTACATCCCGCTTGCGTAGTTAGCGCCACTTTAACTTCGATTCGCGCGGAGACTGCTGGCAGTCATCCTCATCCTGAGAGTCTCCTGTTAAATGTCTCTGGACGTCTTCTCATGGTTCAACGTGAACATTCTACCGATAATTCGGAAATTCTCTTCACATGCGGCGCACCAACAGTATTAGCGTCCTACGTCGAGAATGTTTGGGTTCCATCACGTTCAAGAAGGGATAAGCCGCATTTAACCGAGGCTCTGTGGCTGTTCTGTGGGGCTCATGGCATGCGAGTTTGGTTGCCTCTATTCCGTAATCATCAGGAGAAAGCGCATGCTTTTATGAGCAAGCGGATAATGCTACCATTTCACTTGCGCATTTACCCATTGGCGATACTCTTCGAAGACGCGATTCTACTGGGAGCTGAAAACGATACTGTGTTGTTCACATCAGATACTAACTCGCCTTTTTCACTGCCCTTCAATTTATTGGAGCTTACGGTATTAATTTTTTTAATTTTCTTTTAATATAAAATTTAAAAAATTTATTTTTATCTCTAGTTACTTAAATGTATAATGGCTTTATATTTCAGAGTCAAGTGTATTTACATCAGATT